GAGGATGACCGGGGCCATGTATTGCGAGATTTTGGGGAACAACCTCCTTCCCTCAGTTAGAGCATTGAAGATGGGTCGAGGCCGGGTCTTCCAACATGACAATGACCCGAAGCACACAGCCAGGATAACCAAGGAGTGGCTCTGTAAGAAGCATATCAAGGTTCTGGCGTGGCCTAGCCAGTCTCCAGACCTAAACCCAATAGAGAATCTTTGGAGGGAGCTCAAACTCCGTGTTTCTCAGCGACAGCCCAGAAACCTGACTGATCTAGAGAAGATCTGTGTGGAGGAGTGGGCCAAAATCCCTCCTGCAGTGCAAACCTGGTGAAAAACTACAGGAAACGTTTAACCTCTGTAATTGCAAACAAAGGCTACTGTACCAAATATTAACATTGATTTTCTCAGGTGTTCAAATACTTATTTGCAGCTGTATCATACAAATAAATAGTTAAAAAATCATACATTGTGATTTCTGGATTTTTTTTTTAGATTATGTCTCTCACAGTGGACATGCACCTAGATGACAATTTCAGACTCCTCCATGATTTCTAAGTGGGAGAACTTCAAATACTTATTTTCCTCACTGTATGTCAATACTTGTGCCATTTCCATTATTTAAACAAACTAGTTGCCTAACATCCATCAGTTCTTCCACTGCTTCTTCCATTATCAGTATACTTACTTCCCCAAAGACTATTATGTGCATTGAAGTCTCCACACCATATTTCCAGTTTCCTTGTGTCCATATTATTTCCTCTGAGTTTTCTAGGCTTAATGGTTTACAAGGGTTATATAAGTTGATAACTACTAAGTGCCAATCTGATTTATAAATTTCAGTAACCACACATTCTATTTCTGTTGTTGTTGCTATTCTTCTAAATGGTATCCCATCCTTTACAAATGTTGCACATCCTCCACCCTGATTATTACCTCTATCAAACCTAGCATACTCATAACCATGTAAAATAAAGTTTCTTGAATGCAAACAAAATCACGTTTAACTTCAGACTACAAACTTTTTAATTTCTTGTTCATTTGAAATCAAACTTCTAGCTTTCCTTTGCAAAGGGTGGAATATTATAAGCTTACATAACACTCTGAGAAGATTTTCATTGTTAGTACTTAACATAACATGTATATGTTCAGCTATAAATCTCAGATGGAACTCCTCTGCAGCTTCTACCACTGTCTTGATCCTGTCACTTTTTTCTTTCTTGTCGTGTAGAAACATTAACAGCTTTACACATAAAAGGTATGAAGCTCTTCTTTTCGACAATCAAGATGTTCTCCTCAACTATACACTAATGACTGCACGGTTACTGTGGTGTAGCTGGTCTTCCTGGCTGAGAACTCCTTATGCCTAACCTCTGGGGTAGGCCTGATAGTGTATTGATCTATTTTGCTTGGTTTCGTAAGTGCCCATTATTTTTAAAGCCCTTGCATTGTATTCTGTTACTCAATAATTTAGCATATTTAATTTTCCCCATATCCTTCTCAATGGCGTTGGTCACCTGAACTGGATGAAAGTGACCTTTATAATTACTGAGTGTAATGACTTTCCACTCTCCCTGCTTGTCATCATCATGCCTACTTCTCTCACTAGGTTTAGCTCTTATCTTTTTGTTGGCTTGTTTTGGAATACTCTCTCCTCCACGGTTCGCTTCACACCAAGATTTTCGCCCTGCCTTTTTAGTTTGGCTAACCTCCATATCTATGGCCACCCACCACCGTTACCATCTGATCTATAACCCATTGCTACACTCACAAAAGAAAAGATCAAAAAATGTGATCTCCCGCCAACCTTGTCATACTTCCTCTTCCGCCCACCTCCGTCCCCAATATATCTCAGAACTCAACGATGGCTTCAGAGTTTTGTTTGGAGAGGATCTGGGAGAGTTGGGAATTTAAAAGCGAGATCAAACAACTGGGTGTGTGTCCCATCCACTGAAACCAAGCTTTTGTCTTGTTAATCCAGAGGGCAATCCAAAGCTTTGAACAGAGTACTTGTACTCCTGTTGTACTCTTAAACACAGGACAAGAATCGTGGGGCAAATAAAAGTTTGCAGCAGTGAGGTAATACTTTACTCTCTTTGCTACTCTTGAGGTGCTATTTCTTTGCACTTTTACTGAGCAATCCACTAGAATCTGAAGGCCGGCTGAGCGAGATCAAACAACTGGGTGTCTGTCCCACCCACTCAAACCAAGCTTTTGTCTTGTTAATCCAGAGGGCGATCTCAGCTGGGTCCAATCAGTTGTCATGCCCAACACCTGTGTGCAATTAGACTCATACTACTTCAGTGAAACCTACCACTGAAGCGTCTGCGTAATCATCGGCTCCTTGTGTGAAGACTTACTCGGGTAAAGACCAGCAAGTCTACCTGTGTGAGTCCACTGAGCAAGCCAGCTACAACTACACTCAGGCCATGTGCTACTATACTATTCCTATTGTCTCCGGTTCACGCAAGAGGTATCATGCCATCAGGCACAGAAACCAGGCACTCCTCAAGCTTTTAAAACAGGCACCACCCACATCTGTTTACTTGTCTGTTAGGTCGTGGAACAAAGCTGACTTTATCACTGCTTATAGTAACACACACTCTTGGGCTACTGGCGCTCACTGAGACCTGGATCAAACCAGAAAACTCTGCTACCCCCGCTGCGCTGTCCACGAATTACTCCCCCCCGGTCGTCTGGACAAATGGAAATTCACACAGCTGCTACCCCTGAATCAATATGCCTCCTTCGAATACCATGCTGTTTTTGTGTCCGCTCCGGTAAAGGTCTCTGTGATTGTCATATACCGTCCACCAGGACAAATGGGTAACTTTGTGGAGGAGCTAGACACACTGCTGTCTTCAATCCCAGAGCGTGACTGTCCCCTACTTGTCCTAGGTGACATGAACATTTGCAACATGTGCGTCTCACTCTCTCACGAGGGTGCGCGCGCCAAATACGACATCCAGACTTTTGTCAAGAGAATATAAAATTTGAATCTGTCACAGGGCAGCCACATGTGGACCGTCAGCTTCCCGTCTGCTTTTAACTTGATGGCATGGTCTCTGTCATCACACGCGACTGGTCGCATGCACACACATTAACACAGCAGTCGGTCTGCGTAAGTTTGCGTGGCCGACCAGTGTAGAGAAGAAATGCACAGCATTAAGAACAGATTAAGAAACATGGTGTTAAGCTGATGATACATGGGGAAACTTTTTGAGCAATGTTGCTGGGCAATCTTGCTAGTGGCAAGTCCAACTACACTCACCTAAAGGGTTATTAGGAACACCTGTTCAATTTCTCATTAATGCAATTATCTAATCAACCAATCACATGGCAGTTGCTTCAATGCATTTAGGGGTGTGGTCCTGGTCAAGACAATCTCCTGAACTCCAAACTGAATGTCAGAATGGGAAAGAAAGGTGATTTAAGCAATTTTGAGCGTGGCATGGTTGTTGGTGCCAGACGGGCCGGTCTGAGTATTTCACAATCTGCTCAGTTACTGGGATTTTCACGCACAACCATTTCTAGGGTTTACAAAGAACGGTGTGAAAAGGGAAAAACATCCAGTATGCGGCAGTCCTGTGGGTGAAAATGCCTTGTTGATCCTAGAGGTCAGAGGAGAATGGGCCGACCGATTCAAGCTGATAGAAGAGCAACTTTGACTGAAATAAGCACTCGTTACAACCGAGGTATGCGGCAAAGCATTTGTGAAGCCACAACATGCACAACCTTGAGGCGGATGAGCTACAACAGCAGAAGACCCCACCGGGTACCACTCATCTCCACTACAAATAGGAAAAAGAGGCTACAATTTGCAAGAGCTCACCAAAATTGGACAGTTGAAGACTGGAAAAATGTTGCCTGGTCTGATGAGTCTCGATTTCTGTTGAGACATTCAGATGTAGAGTCAGAATTTGGCGTAAACAGAATGAGAACATGGATCCATCATGCCTTGTTACCACTGTGCAGGCTGGTGGTGGTGGTGTAATGGTGTGGGGGATGTTTTCTTGGCACACTTTAGGCCCCTTAGTGCCAATTGGGCATCGTTTAAATGCCACGGCCTACCTGAGCATTGTTTCTGACCATATCCATCCCTTTATGGCCACCATGTACCCATCTTCTGATTATTAAAATACTGGACTATGTTTTAATAAAAGTTGTCATGCCATAGGGAAGCAGAAGATGCCTCTGTGTGGGAATAATCTAAAAAAGACCTGTATACTTGTTTTGTATCTCTAGTTACTCAGAGCTACCACAACTTCGTGATGATAAACATAAATCCAGTCAGAGCTCTGTGGAAAGGCAGATGCAAATGTTTCTGGCAAATTTTTACAGTTTAGTTTTAATCTTTTTAATGAATCTTTTACACCTATGCAGCAGTTTTATCATATATAATAAGAAGCTACTATTTTAATGTGTTTATCTTAATAGACTACATGTTTTCAAAAAAGGAGCTTTACACATAACCTTATCAGATCTAATGATAATATTAGTACATTTTAGCACGCCATTGTCAACTTTGATTGTATAAAACGTAATTTGCCAAAAACAAAAATTTGGCTAGTGAAAATGCTGCGTGGATTCTGCTCTGACAACTATGTCATTTACCTGCAGGAGCTCAGAGTAAACTACTTTTATTAAATTAGCTTTTTACTTTAGTTTTTGGGATTACAATGTTGATTTATCTTCACTGGAGCTTCTCGGCAGCGAGCTTCTGTGCACATCAAGTTCCACTGTTGTTGTTGGCATCGGTTGGCACCTAGAGCTCAGTTGGACTACTACTAACTAACTGACTAACTAACTGTAACTTTATTCAAGCTTCCATTGCACTTTACAAGTTAGCATAGCATCGGAACTCCATTCAGAAAACAAACATTGAAAAAGTTGTTGTCGTATTGTGGTGTTGACAGACCTGTCAAAGCATGAATTCTTTTTTTCACATTTAAAAAAATAAAACAGGAAATAATAACCCTCAAAGCCAAAACCATGACATGTCTTCACAGAGAGAAGAAGAGGAGTCAAGTTTCTGTGGAGGAGCAGCCGTCCTGCTGTGCTTTGTGTCAGGACGTCCTGAAGGATCCAGTCTCTACCAGCTGTGGACACTGGTTCTGCAGACGGTGCATCACCTCATACTGGGACCAGTCTGCTTCATCAGGACACTCCTCCTGTCCCCAGTGTGGAGAAAGATCCAGAGCTGGACTGCAGACAGCCAGTCAGAGCAGCGCCGTACAAAGTAAGACTGTCCATCTGTCTGCTGATGTCGTCATGTCTGAAAACAGGATTCTTGGGTTTCTTTGCCTCGCAGCATTTAAAATGTTGCTGTCTCAGCCAATCAGAAACATTTTCAATTGGATTCATTTTTCTTACTGGTTGTTTTTATGTTGGTGATAATGAATAATTCCTACTAATGATTCTTTCTTCTGTGACAGTGGATGGCAGTCTGCAGGAGGTTTTAGATGAACATAAGATCAGTCTGAGGAGGAGATGTGAACGTGTGACTGAAGGAAGTGATGAAACAGGAAGTGGAACCCTCCTCAACAGGATCTACACTGAGCTCTACATCACAGAGGGACAGAGTGAAGAGGTTAATACCCAGCATGAGGTGAGGCAGCTTGAGACAGCTTCCAAGAAGAAGACCCTCCATGACGCTCCAATCAGGTGCCAGGACATCTTTAAAACCTTACCTGGCCAACAGAGAGCCATCAGAGTGGTTCTGACCAACGGCGTCGCTGGCGTTGGAAAAACCTTCTCGGTGCAGAAGTTCACTCTGGACTGGGCAGAGGGCTCGGAAAACCAAGATGTCAGTCTGCTGGTTCTGCTCTCGTTCAGGGAGCTGAACTTGATCAAAGATGAGCGGCACAGTCTCCTCACGCTGCTCCATGTTTTCCATCCAACATTACAGAAGGTCCCAGCAGAGAAGCTCGCTGTCTGGAAACTGTTGTTCATCTTTGACGGCCTGGATGAAAGCAGACTTTCATTGGATTTCCACAACAGTGAGGTTGTGTCTGATGTCACACAGAAGTCATCAGTCAACCTGCTGCTGACAAACCTCATCGAGGGGAATCTGCTTCCCTCGGCTCTCGTCTGGATAACTTCCAGACCTGCGGCGGCCAATCAGATCCCTCCTTCACGTGTTGGCAGATTAACAGAAATACGAGGCTTCACTGACGCCCAGAAGGAGGAGTACTTCAGGAGGAGAGTCAGTGATGAAGAGCTGTCCAGCAGAATCATCTCACACATCAAGACCTCCAGGAGCCTCCACATCATGTGTCTAATCCCAGTCTTCTGCTGGATCACTGCTACAGTTCTGGAGCACATGTTGACTACAGAGCAGAGAGGAGAGCTGCCCAAGACCCTGACTGACCTGTACTCACACTTCCTGCTGGTTCAGATAAAGAAGAAGAAGCAGAAGTACGATGAGGGACATGAGACGAGTCCACAGGAGCTGACGGAGGCTGACAGGGAGGTTCTTCTGAAGCTGGGGAGGCTGGCGTTTGAACATCTGGAGAATGGAAATATCGTGTTCTACCAAGAAGACCTGGAGCAGTGTGGTCTTGATGTCACAGAGGCCTCGGTGTACTCAGGAGTTTGTACAGAGATCTTCAAAAGAGAGAGTGTGATCTTCCAGAAAACAGTCTACTGCTTTGTTCATCTGAGCGTTCAGGAGTTTCTGGCTGCAGTCTACAAGTTCCACTGTTTCACCAGCAGCTACACAGAGGGACTGGAGGACTTCCTGAGGAGTTCCATGGAGAAATCTCTCCAAAGTGAAAATGGCCACCTGGACCTGTTTGTTCGCTTCCTTCATGGCCTCTCTCTGGAGTCCAACCAGAGACTCTTAGGAGGCCTGCTGGGTCAGACAGACAACGGTCTAGAAATCTTCCAGAGAGCCATCAACAACCTGAAGGTGATGAACATGAACTGGATCTCTCCTGACAGAAGCATCAACATCTTCCACTGTCTGACGGAGATGAACGACCACTCAGTACATCAGGAGATCCAAGAGTTCCTGAAGTTAGAGAACAGATCAGAGAAGGAACTCTCTGAGATCCACTGCTCAGCTCTGGCCTACATGCTGCAGATGTCAGAGGAGGTTCTGGATGAGTTGGACTTGAAGAAGTACAACACATCAGATGAGGGACGACGGAGACTGATTCCAGCTGTGAGGAACTACAGAGAGGCTCGGTAAGTCCAGATGTGATTATCAACACTGTAAAGCAACGTAAAGCTGAAGCATCAGTATTACAGTAAAGATACACACTTTACACACACGCTCAATAAAAAATCACACTATAAAAGTTTCCTAAACTAGTATTAAAGCTGCTTATTGAAATACTTCTTATTTTTTTGTTTCTATCCATCAAGTTAGTGACACAAGTATCTTCTATCATCTTCTAACTTTCTTTGGGTGATGGAGGCTTGATACAAATCCAGCAGGAAAACTTCAGGATTAAGAGTTTGTTGTTAGGTTTGGTTTCAGGGAGGTGCAGACAAAGACTCAGGTAGTGAGGAGGCAGTTCAGTTTTTTTCTTCTCAAAAAAACTCAAATAAGGATTTGGTCCAGGCGGAACGAGCGGGTTTGAGCAGGGGTACAGGCAGATGGCAGCGGGTGGTCAGGTGGAATCTCCGTAGAGGTGGTGGAGCTGAGTCATTTTATCCCAGCAGTCTTTTTATTTTTCCACTGATCCAGTGTCTGCACTCTGTTTCTATACTGTGTCTGTTTCTTTTTTTTTTTTTTTTTTTTTTTTTTTTGTATTTATTTAACAGTCAGACATATACAAACCAACATAGTGCAGTAGTGAGCAATCTTGTAAATCCATAATTCCAGAAGTGACATAAAAGTGATTTAAGTGTTTGATCTAAGTGTACATGTGAACAGGTGTGAGTATATATATGTGTATGTGTATGTGTATGTGTGTGTATGCGTAAACAAAGTTACCATTTATTATTTATTACCATTTTCATTACCATCTCCGCCCCACTACCACCATATTGCCAGTATTGTGTTTGTTGATTTTTATTTCCATCCTTCCTCCTATGTACCAATTGCCATTGTCAATCCTGCATAAAATAAAAGATGATAAAATAAGATAATGTAAGATACCTTTCCCCCACATCTCTTCAGTCCCTATCTTTTCATTTTTTTTTTTTTTTTTTTTTTTTTGTGTGTTATGTGTAATGTCTAAGGTGCATTAAAAGAGAGAGTACAGTGCGATAGTGTCTCAAATTGGGACAGAGATGCTGTCCCATTGAAACCACCGCCTTGGTGTTTGTGTGGTTTTCTATATATACATTTTTTTTTTTTTTTTTTTTTTTTTTTTTTTTTTTTTTTTTCTCCCTATTCTATGTTGTGGTGCATTAAAAACCCGTGAAGAGATAAGGGGGGAATTATTGCAGTAGTGATGACAATGACACTTAATTCCAATACAGCATTGACAACGGCAATATTGATGATTATAATAATAATGGTAATAATGATATTAATAATAAATGACAATGATGATGGCAGTGGTGACCGCAATGGTGAAAGCAAAAGACAGCAACATCAGCAATTACAACAATGAAAAAATAAAAGTGAAAATAGCAACGATAACAATAACAGTAAAGATAGTAATAACAATGATGACATGAACAAGTTCAAACAACTAAATGCATTAATTTTCGTGGGTTGATTAAGAAGGTGGGAGGAGTTGGAGTTGAAAACCGAGAAAGGGTTCACAGCTGTAAGAGGTCAGAAAGTGTTGGGCGGCAGGAGTCAGTTTTAGATGCGTAATTATGAAGGGGAGATGCATATTCCATTGCAATGAAGTCTGTTATAAGATTTTTCCAAATGTTAATGTGTAATTTATTTCTAGTTTTCCAGTTCATGAGGATAGTTTTCTTGGCGATGGTTAGAGCTATGAGGAGTATTTTAGAGTTTATAGTTTTATCAGTGATTATTGTGAGGTCTCCCAGCAAGCAAAGAGAAGGCGACATTGGGATGTGGCAGCCAACTATAGTGGATAGTGACTGTGTGACCTCTTCCCAAAAGTGTTTGATTGGAGTGCAGTGCCAGGTTGCATGGATGTATGTATCTGTAGAATTTTGATTGCAATGTGTGCAAACTTCTGATGTGAAACCCATTTTAGCTAATCTATTGCCCGTGTAATGTGTTCTATGAAGTATTTTGTATTGTATTAACTGAAGATTTGCATTTTTGGACATGAGATGGATGTTTTTACAGATTTGGGTCCAGAAGCTGGCATCAGGAGCTATTGAAAGATCGTTTTCCCATTTTATTGTTGGTAAGTATATGGTCTGAAGTTGGTTTGAAATCATTTTGTATATTTTAGAGAGAAGTTTCTTTGGGGAGGAAATGTTGACCAAGTCTGATATTGCCGCTGGAAGTTCTAAAGTTGTGTCTCTGATGTTTATTTTTGTCAGAACAGAAGATTTGATTTGTAGGTATTTTAAGAATTCGTTGCTCCCGATGCCATACTCCTGGGCTAGTTGCGGAAATGGTCTAAATGTGTTAGATTTGAAAATGTGCTTAATGTGGGTAATACCCCTTTCTGCCCATGTGTGAAAATTCAATGTTTTTTTATTGCTTATAAAGTCACGGTTGTTCCACAGTGGTGTGAAGTTAGATGGAACTAATTTAGAATTTGTGATATGGTGAAATTTCCACCAGGCTGTCAGAGTGGAAGCTATAGTTACTGCATTAAAACATGTGTGTTGTTTGATTGATTTGGTGAGGAACGGTATGTCAGCTATATTTAATTCTTTGCATAGTGATTGTTCTATATCTAGCCATATAATATCGGATTGGGTGGGGTGAATCCATTTGTATATGTATTGCAGTTGGTTAGCCATTGAGTAATATTGGAAATTTGGTGCTTCTAGTCCTCCTTGAACCTTACTTTTTTGTAGTGTAGTGAGTTTTATCCTTGGCGTTTTATTTTTCCAGTAGAAGTGAGTGATAATGGAGTCTAGTGATTTAAACCAGGTGAGTGTAGGGTGGGTTGGAATCATTGAGAATAGATAATTAATTTTCGGTAAAATCGTCATTTTTATTGCTGCTATCCTGCCGATTATGGAGATTGGAAGGTTGAGCCATCGAAGCAAATCGTCTTCTATTTTTTTTAGCAGTGGTGTGAAGTTGAGTGTTACCAACTCTGACAGTCTGGAGGAGATCTTAATGCCTAAGTGAGTGATGTGATCATGACATATAGGTATAGGTGTTTGGTGGGGTGCCACATCCCATTTGGTTTTATGTAGAGGGAGGATGAAAGATTTGTTCCAGTTTATTGCATAATCTGATATTTTTGAGAAGGACTGGATTGTTTTAATTACTTCTTGAGTGGATGTTAGGGGTTCTTGTATATATAGTAGGATATCATCTGCATAAAGTGAGATTTTATGTGTTTGTTGTGGTGTTTCAATACCTTTGATTACTGGGTTTTGGCGGATAGCTGCTGCTAAAGGTTCAATAAAAATCGTGAATAGGGATGGAGAGAGTGGACATCCCTGCCTCGTCCCCCTGTGCAGTGTGAAGCTTTGTGATGTTAGTCCATTGGTTGTGACTGTGGCCGATGGTGATGTGTATAAAATCTTGATCCAATTAATAAATTTCCAGTTGACCCTATCAAAAGCTTTTTCGGCGTCTAATGTGGCAATGAGAGTATCTTTCTTTTGTACTGATGAGTAATGCATTAGATTGAATAATCTGCGGGTGTTATTGGATGCATATCTACCTTTTATAAAGCCGGTCTGATCAGGATGGATTATAAACGGTATAATTTGTTCAATTCTATGGGCTAGTGTTTTGCTAATCATTTTTATGTCGACATTTATAAGTGAGATAGGGCGATAGTTAGATGCGAAGGTGTGGTCTTTGTTAGGTTTAGGAATGAGTGATATAAGTGCTGTATTCATGTGGGATGGGAACTTTGCGTTATGTTTTATTTCTGTTATTGTTCTGCTGAATAGTGGGTATACGGTTGACCAAAAATGTTCGTAGAACTCAGCAGGGAAGCCATCTGGACCTGGTGCTTTATTTTTTTGCATGCTTTTCAATGCGGAGTGAAGTTCTTTTTCTGTGATTGGTAATTCTAGTGTGTTTACTTGTTCCATGTTGAGTTTGGGTAGAATAGTGTTATCGAGGAATTGGGTTATGTCTTCTTGGTTTGGGTCCAGATCCGATGAGTATAATTTTATATAGTAATCTTGAAATATCTTGTTTATCTCAACTGGTGAATTGGTTAGCTTCCCTGCCGAGTTTCTGATGGAGGTTATAGCTGTTCTTTCTTTATTTCTTTTAATTTGACTGGCTAAATATTTTCCGGATTTATTGCTATGGTGAAAAGTTTCTTGACGGAGCCTGTGAATCAGAAACTGGTTTCTTTTGTTTATTATTTCATTAAGCAAAATTTTCTTCTCTCTAATTTCTATATAGATGCTTTCTGATTGATTATTAGCATGTAAAATTTCTAATTCTTTTATTCTTTCTTCCAGTTGGACTTCTTTTTCTTTGTCCTTTTTTTTTTTATGTACTGAATATGATATAATTTTACCCCGTAAAACTACTTTCCATGTTTCCCAGAGCAGTGATGCTGACGACTTTGGAGAGTCATTTATTTCAAGGAAGGATGTCCACTCTCTCTTGAAATAGCTGTCAAATTCTGGATCTTTCAAGAGTGATGTATTAAAACGCCATCTGGTGGGGTGCTTTGGTATTGCAGATGGATTCCATGTGAGAGTTACTGGAGAGTGGTCACTAATAATGATCGGATGTATTTTAGTTTCTAAGATATTAGGTAGGATTGAATTACTGGTTAGAAAGAAATCAAGGCGGGAGTAGGTTTGGTGGACATTAGAATAAAAGGTGTATTCTCTGGCGAGTGGGTGTTGTAGCCTCCAACCATCACCAAGACCAAAATCACTCATGAACTGTTTTATTGTTTTAGAGGACTGCCAAGGTTTTCCTGTATGTTTTGACCTGTCAAATGATGGATTGATTACAGTGTTATAGTCTCCCCCTATAATTATTGGACCGTTGGAAATGTTTGAAAGAGAGGAAGAGAAATTTGCAAAGAAGGCGGAATCATCAGAGTTTGGTCCATAAATGTTGCCAATTGTAATTGGATTATTATTGATTGAAATGTTAATAATGATAAAACGGCCTTCAGGATCTGAAATGGTTGTATGGTGGTTAAACTGTATTTTTTTGTTTATTAAGATGCATACTCCTCTTTGTTTTGAATTATAGTGGGAGGAAAAACAGTGGTTAAAATGTGTAGTTTTTAAGCTGTTTTGTGTATATTGCGACAGGTGTGTTTCCTGTATTAGACATATATCTGCTTGTGTATTTTTTAGGTAATTTAAAACTTTATTTTTTTTTGTTTGTGAACCAACTCCACGAATATTCCAAGTTAAGAATTTCAATTGCATGAACCTATAATGTACATTTCATATTTACCTTGTGTGAGTATATAAGTCTGTGTGTATGGATGTGTGTGTGCATGTGTGTGTATGTGTGTGTGTGTGTGTGTAAATCTATTATACCAAGTGACAAATAAAACAGGGAAAACATAGATACCTAAAACCAGCAACAAACATATAAACAGTGTGCAAGGCTATTTAGGTGCATTTAGAATACAATGTGCGTGCGTGATGCAATTGGTTTTATTAAAGAATATGAAGATTATGAATTGAATATAAATTGAGCATAAACGGATTGGAAATGTTACATTGCTAGTTTCAATAGTTAGTAAAGCCAGGGAGTAGTGTCTTTGTCTCTAAACAATTGTCCATCAATATAATTTATCCACTGTGATGATTGCTTTTTTACCTTGATTGATCATTGTCTTACGGATGGGGAAAAGTAGCTTACGTCTGCGGATGATCTCTTGTGGATATTGGTCGTTGAGTCCGTAATGAGTCCCTTTGAGCTGCCGTCCTTGTCGCTGAACCAGTACTTTTTGCTTGAAATGTTCAAATTTGGCGATGATGGGCCGGGAACGGGTGGAGTTGATGGGTTTCTGCCCTAAACGGTGAACGCGATGGAAAGTGATGTGCTCTACAGTCTCTGGTGTAAGTTTGAGCTGGTTAACCATGAAGTCCTTAACAGATTTTTCGGGGTCTTCGGTGGATGATTCGGGAATGCCGGAGAAGATTAGATTGTCTCTCATACTTCGTGACTGTATATCCAGGATAGTTTCTTGCATGGCTTTGTTCTCAGCGATGACGGAGGTAAGTTGAGTGTTTACAGTGGAAAGTTTTGCAGTGAGTGTGTCCACGGAGCTTTTCAGTGATTTGTTTTCTTCTGTGAGCGAATCGACTTGTTGTTGACTGTATTCCAGGCTATGGCGGATGTTTTGAAATTCTTTGTGCAGTACTTCGATTAGTGAGAGTCTAGAATCCAGGTTAGATAAGCGCTCGTTGATTGATAAAAGTATGTCGGAACAGCAGTTTGTTTCGGTAGGAGTGGATGCTGGTGATGTTGGTGATAACGGTGAATCGGTTGATAAGGGAGAATCCGAAGTGCGTGGTTTTTTGGCTTTGCGTGATCGGCCCATTGTACAAAGTCTGTTGAAGTGATGGTCAATGTAATCCTCCAGTTGGTCCAGGTCCGAATTGAAATCCAGGTTTTTGAATTAGGATGTTACGGATAAGTTAATCTTTTTCTAGCAGCGGCGCGCTGCCATGTTTAATTTTCGCACCCAACGCACACACACACTACGTCAATACGTCATACGTCATCCGTCCATACGTCATACGTCATCCCTGGGAGTTAGTTGACTGTGTCTGTTTCTTGTTCTTCTTCTATACAGACACACAGACATGTCGTATCTGTGATCTGCTGGAGCTAACGTCACTTGAAGCTTTCATGCAGTTGTTGCTCTTCTAGTTTTTCTCTGCAGTTTGGGAGCTATTTCATATGATGGACTGTTCTGTCCATTTTCTCTAATTATTGTTTGATTTGAGAGGATGTGAGGGGAGGCCATCCTCCCTCTTGAAGAGAGAACAGAACATTCCCCTCTCCATCCTCATTAAATATAAGATACCACTTTACATTGTTTAGTTCCAACGATGAATGTCTCTTCATGTGTTTTGCTGCGTTAGAAATGAGTTTAAATTAGAAACAGTAAGGAAGCTCTCTACGGTAGGATTTGAGTGGACTGGTCTGTAATCTGGTAAATTCCAAAGCTACTTTGGTAATGTTCACTGATAGAGATCGTTTTTAAAGCTTAATGTGAGAAATAATATCAGTTTGCAAACACAAACTGTCAGATAATGTGTTTCCTTTCTGCACCATTTCACAGCAGCAACACTAAAGGCAAGATATGCAGAGAAAACGGCAGCACATGTGATGCCCACTAGAGTGTCAGCACATTTGTGTGAATGGAATTATTCTATTTGATAGTGTTTCATAATTTGAGATTATATCTGTATGTTTCTTCTTTTGAAAAGGACTTTCTTTGCAGTTGTTATGTTCACGGCTTGTCTAGGGACGTGGGACTAACAAACCACTTGTAAAACCAAGGATGAATCAAGACACTTTCACATTTAATGTATTTATTTAAGAAAGGATTTACAAAGATTTATCAAATAAATATGATCTCTGCTCATGGGTTCATTTCAGTGGAGGGATTTTATCTTCACCAAGCTCAGAGAAGAAATAATGCTGTTGAACTCTAGCTGAGCTCCACTTGAGGAAAAACTATTGGCAATAAAATAGTAATAATACAATCTGTACTACTAATTGTACTATCAATGCAACAGGAGTCATTAAATTAATTTAATGGGAAATGAAAAGCAGATAGAGTGACATAAGATGCATCAGAGATGCACAAAACACTCAAGCACATGACTGAGATAAATCCATTCGAATGCAGTTCGAACCTGCACTAATTTTACAGCTCAGTGAACAAACACAAATCACAGCAACCTGTTAATCACAATATGACATGTTCACATTACAGTCATTTAGCAGGCACTTCTGTCCAAAGTAGTAATAATGTGGTTTGTTATGTGGCTCAAGGACACTTGGACATGTGGACAGGAGCTCAAGTTTCATACCACAAACATTGTGATCAATGGCTGAGCAGCTTTTATTATATTTTAAGTTTTTTATTCTCTGTCATCGCAGACTTTGTGGCTGTGGACTCTCAGAGACTCACTGTGAAGTCGTGGCCTCAGCTCTGAAGTCCAACCCCTCCCATCTGAGAGAGCTGGACCTGAGTAACAACAATCTGCAGGATTCAGCAGTGAGGCTGCTGTCTGCTGGACTGGAGAGTCCAAACTGTAGACTGGAGACTCTGAGGTCAGTTCATGTATTCTGCTCTTGTCCAGTGTATATCTACCATAATTAAATCCATAACAGAAGTTTTAAATTTCGTTAAGTTTTCTTGTTTTTGGGGTTTGTCTGAGCACAAATCACAACAGTTCTTTTTAAATGTTTGTCAGTCTGAAGAGTTTGGCTCCGAATTTAGTCTGAACTCAAAGTGGATTCATGTTGATCCAGTTCTAAAGACACCTGAGGATGAAGCTCACAGTCAGTCAGCTGTGTGTTGATGGAGATGGCAGTGATACAATGTTATTGATCTGTGTTGACATGAATAGGTGTATGAATGTTGTGCTGACATTTGGATGATGTCTGTAGAAGGTGACATTATGATGATCCACAAAACACGATGACAAAGTCCCTCTACTCATTTTAGGGAAAAGCTCATTGATTAGGACACATTAATGTTGAGCTCTACATTTAAACCTGAACACATCTGATTGGATTAGAAATGGATTTTTATCTCCATCATTTATTATTTATTCAGAATGAGTCACTGCAGTTTGTCAGAGATCAGCTGTGCTTCTCTGGCCTCAGCTCTGAAGTCCAACCCCTCCCATCTGAGAGAGCTGGACCTGAGTTTCAACCAGCTGCAGGATTCAGGAGTGAAGCTGCTGTGTGGTTTTCTGGAGATTCCACACTGTAGACTGGAGACTCTGAGGTCAGACACCATTTTTTCCATTTTATTAATATGATGTGAAAGTTGTGGTGACACTAAAGTGCAGACATAATGATATTATACTGATCCACACTGAGTATCTCAGTACTAAAGTCTATTTTCTTCTTCAGTGGTTTAGTCCATTGACTGTGGCAGAGCAATGTTTAGCTCCACATTTAAAAGCTTAATATGATAATAAAACTACATGACTTCAATGAAGACATTAATAATCTCTATTTCAACTACCAGACAATAACAAATATATTCAGTATTTGCTTTTTCCAACATTGTGATGAAGCTACATGATGCTTATACTGACTGAATGGTTTAAAGTGAAGAAGCTTTGATTTGATGACTCTACTATTCCTAAAAGAAATATTGTAGATGTCTTTTGTTCACATTTGCCCAATGTTCATCCTGACAAATTTGGCATCTTTGGAAACTTTGGGATCTTGAGCGGAATCTTAAATCAGTTTCTGTGGGTTTTTCTTTGTGTTTGGCTGCACAGCATGAGTTTGTATAGATGGAGCCACTGGTGGAGCTGCAGAGTTTAAGAGCTGAAGTCACTACGTCTTTATTGAAGTAGCAGCACGTTGCCATTAATATTAATGAGAAATCTTTTTACTTTTTTGTATTTTACAGCTTAAACCTGCGTCCTGTTGGGTTCAGGTGTTTGGAGTTTCCATTTTCTAAACTTCTACATTCAAAACCTTCTTCAGCTCTGAACAGATTATCAAACACTGAATGATTTCAAGCAGGAACATTTTCTTCTAAAGTTACATCATTTATTCTTTATTCAGATTGAGTCTTTGCTGGTTGTCAGAGATCAGCTGTGCTTCTTTGGTCTCAGCTCTGAAGTCCAACCCCTCCCACCTGAGAGAGCTGGAGTTGAGACACAACAAGCTGCAGGATTCAGGAGTGAAGCTGCTGTGTGGTTTTCTGGAGAGTCCACACTGCAGACTGGAGACTCTGAGGTCAGTTCACTGACTCTTTGTTACTAATATAGATCTGATATGTTTAATTAACAACTGAACCTAATTTCTGTTCATACATAACTTCCATCCAGAGGTGGAGTGGGTTGCTTGGAAATCGAAAGATTGGCGGTTCAATCCCCTGCTCCTCTAGGCTGCATGTCGAAGTGTTCTTGGGCAAGATACTGAACCCTGATTTGCCCCTGGTGGCTGTTCCACCTTTATGAATGTTGTGTAAATGCGCTTTGAGTGGTTGCAAAAACTAGAAAGGCGCTATACAAATACAGAGCATTTGCATTTACATGTGTTATCACATAGAATTTCTGATCACTAATATTGATCCTTCAGAATGCACATACACACAGACTGACTTGATCACCAACATGTTATATATCTGTGTTGACATGAATAGGTGTATGAACGTTGTGCTGACATTTGGATGATGTCTGTAGAAGGCTGACATTATGATGATCTACAATGACAAAATCCCTCTACTCATTTTAGGGAAAAGCTCATTGATTAGGACATAATCAGTAATGTTGAGCTCCGCATTTAAAACCTGAACACATCTGATTGGATTAGAAATGTATTTTTATCTCCATCATTTATTCTTTATTCAGATTGAGGGGCTGCAGTTTGTCAGAGATCAGCTGTGCTTCTCTGGCCTCAGCTCTGAAGTCCAACCCCTCCCATCTGAGAGAGCTGGAGCTGAGTGACAACGAGCTGCAGGATTCAGGAGTGAAGCTGCTGTGTGGTTTTCTGGAGAGTCCACACTGCAGACTGGAGACTCTGAGGTCAGACACCATTTTTTCCTTTTTATTAATATGATGTGAAAGTTGTGGTGACACTAAAGTGCAGACATAAGGCTGATATTATACTGATCCACACTGAGTATCTCAGTACTAAAGTCTATTTTCTTCTTCAGTGGTTTAGTCCATTGACTGTGGCAGAGCAATGTTGAGCTCCACATTTAAGAGCTTAATATAACAAGAAACGTCTCCACTGGATAATTCACTCTAAACCTCTTAAACTCCTGATTTTCAGCTTCTATTCCACATCACGTTTTGATCATAAAACTACATGAATTCAATTAATAAATAATCTATTTCATCTATCAGACAACAACAAATATATTCAGTATTTGCTTTTTCCAACATTGTTATGACACTAAAGTGTCAGAAAGTTGAGTGCTGAAGCAGGAATACAGAGGTGTGGACAAAAATGCAGACCAGAACAAAGTTCAGTTGATGATATTTTAATTACAGTCCAAACTAAACAGCAAAATCTAAACAGGTGTTGGGTCAGATGTATGACCAGGCTGGGCCAGTTAAGCCTGGTCCCCACCTTCACCAACTTAATAAACTTTGTCAAAAAATACTCCATTAGCTTTCTATTATAGTCAATAAATTTGCAATCAAAAACTTCTCTGGAGACGGTCAAGAGTCGGTGCAAAAAGAGTTTATTCCAAAACAGGACAGCAAACCTGTACAACATCCCAGCAGGCCGGAGGATGAAGTCCCTCCTATGGTCTGCAGACAGCCTTATATTATATATATCTCTTCTGTGCTGGTTTGCCCCCTCCTTTCCTTATGATGAACTTCTTTTCCTCTGTTATTGTGTTGTTTTTACGAATTAACACTGTTCCCCTGCTGTCATTTATTACTGTATTGTAGACTTTCTACATCTTTTTACTACTGCATAAGAAGTTCATCATTTACATTTCAATTTCAGTCTCACCGTTTTTTTAAAGGTTACGCATGCTTAATTTGACACATAATTGTATTTTTTAAAGAATTAATATAAGAATAACATACGTAAAGTTGCATTTTTCATTAATGCTTGGTTTCTTACAGCATTCTTGATGTTATGCTGACTGCTTTCTGCTTATCATCTGTCTGTCGTGTTTTTGCCAAGCATCTGTCGGATTTTTGGTCATCCTCTGTCGTGTTTTTGCAAAGCATGAATTCCTACAGCAAGTTCACTCAAAGCTCATACTGGCTATAATAACCAGAGGTTGAAAGTTGACAATCAAACCCCCTTAATCAGCAGATTAACACATCAGCAGTTCCTCATGTAATCACAACAACAGTAGATAACAGTAGACCAAAGCATGCACTGTCACATTGTCGGCAGATCTTGCACACCTGTAGCCTCTCCTATGGTCATAATCTACAGTAGATGACAGTTGGACAAGGTAAACCACCTGCAGCCTGTTCCTGCAGTCATTCCTCCCACTCAAGGATCTAACCACAGTGAGCTTGTTTCTGTGTTCATGACTACAGTTCACTACTTAGAAGTAAAAACCAAAGCACATCTATGTAAAAAGAAAAGAATGATTAATGATTAATACTAGTAAAATGATTAAAATGATGATATAACAATTATTACTTAAAGTAAGTAACTGATTAATGATAATACAACTGATTAAAATGATTAATAATGATTATTAATATTGATTAAGGATAATTACTGATGACTGTTTCTTGCCTAATGTCTAACTTTTTGTCTGCAATGCTCCCCCTCTCTGTGTCCGGGATGCCCTCTGCTGATCATGCTATTTTAACCAAAAACCTGGTGTCTCTTGTGCTGTTTGCTATAGACAGGACATTCTTACTCTATTGATGTATGTTTTGTAACACAATTTTCACTAATTCTGCTTCTACATTTTGATGATGCCTTGCTGTGCTCATTCTGCTCCCAGAGTACACATGCCTGCTTACACACACATGTGCTACTGTTACTGCCTCCAGGCAGCTAGACACAGAGAGGACCACACACTCTCAGAGCTATAGAGTTTCAGCGTTGGGATCTTAACTTTACACTATAAAATAGCACTCTAAATGATGACAATAGCTATAGAGTTTTGACACTGTAATCTTAACTTTACACTCTAAAATAATATTTTAAATGATGCCAATGCAGACCACCTTCGCTCTAGCAATTAATGATAACAATTTAGGCTGTAATGTTCTAAAATAATTCTCAACACAGGCAGGTATAATCCAAATCACAGGGAAACAATCCAGGAAACCACAGGAAACAGGGCACAGGGCAGAACACTCAACATATGAGGATAACACCACAAGGACTGAACAGAACTGAGGGCAACACACACAAGTAGGCAGGGCAATTAATCACAGGTGAGACACATAAGCAATCAAGCAGACAGGAAACAATGCTAGACAGAAACAGCATAACAGAACAAAACCAGGGCAGGGAACAGAGACAGGACAAAACAGGACTACACTAACATGAGAGACATAGACACAGACACAAGGAGAGAACAGACAGGCTCAGTGATCACAGGTGGAACAGATGGAAACTAACAACAACCAAACAGAGAAACAGACAGAGACTAGGATGAAATGGAACACAAGGTAGACAAGACCAAAATAACAA